TGTAGTCTTGTTTGGGCTGTCTAGACAGGACTACTGTCTCGTACATCGTAGTCTTGTTTGGGTTGTCTAGACAGGACTACTGTCCCATACATCGTAGTCTGGTTTGGGTTGTCTAGACAGGACTACTTTCCCGTACATTGTAGTCTTGTTTGGGCTGTCTAGACAGGACTACTGTCTCGTACATCGTAGTTTTGTTTGGGTTGTCTAGACAGGACTACTGTCCTGTACATTGTAGTCTGGTTTGGGATGTCTAGACAGGACTACTGTCCCATACATTGTAGTCTGGTTTGGGCTGTCTTGACAGGACTACTGTCTCGTACATTGTAGTCTTGTTTGGGCTGTCTAGACAGAACTACTGTCCCAAACATCGTAGTCTGGTTTGGGTTGTCTAGACAGGACTACTTTCCCGTACATTGTAGTCTTGTTTGGGCTGTCTAGACAGAACTACTGTCCCAAACATCGTAGTCTGGTTTGGGTTGTCTAGACAGGACTACTTTCCCGTACATTGTAGTCTTGTTTGGGCTGTCTAGACAGGACTACTGTCTCGTACATCGTAGTCTTGTTTGGGTTGTGAATGCTGTAGGTTATATTTTTATGTAATATGTATTACTTTTTGCATCAGGGTGTGATAAGCATTATTGTGATTAATTGAAGTATCACACAAACAAATATACGGCATGAGACATACAGTAATGGTACAGAAATGTCAGAAAAATTAACTATGTGTGCAATACAAGTTACCCCCCATAGACATGTCCTAACTCAGCAGGTTTTATCTCTCCACAGGCACTGGTTTACTTTACCTTCTCAGCCCTCGGTGGGGATCCTTTGGCCCAGATGGCTTTGGTAAGTGAGCTGGATATAATTTAAGGAAAATGACCAGGAGGCAGAGAATGCAATAAATGTAAAGAACCATGAAGAATCAAATAATGATATAGCAAAGATATATACAAGTTTTCCTTCTTTTGTATGATTAATAATAAATGCACTGAAAATCATAATTATGAATACTTAAGATGTAAATATATTGTTTAGGTAAAATTTTATTTTACTGAAATAATACCATACTTGTATTTGTGGTTTATTTGGAATCACTGCTGGTCCTTGGAATTCTTGCTGTGCCAGGTTGTTATCTATATCTGGAGTAAGCTTTTACATGAATACTAATACTGGAAGGGAATCGGTAAGCTAGGTTGTTATTTATATCTGGTGTTTTACAGGGGTATAGATACTGGGCGGGAATCGGTAAGCTAGATTGTTTTTTATATCTGTGGTTTTACAGGGGTATAGTTACTGAGCATGGATCGGTAAGCTAGCTTGTTATTTATATCTGGTGTTTTACAGGGGTATCGGTACTAGGCATAGATCGGTAAGCTAGCTTGTTATTTATATCTTGGGTTTAACAGGGGTATAGTTACTGAGCATGGATCGGAAGCTAGGTTGTTATTTATATCTGGTGTTTTACAGGGTTACCGGTACTGGTCGGGGATCGGTAAGCTAGGTTGTTATTTATATCTGGTGTTTTACAGGTGTACCGGTACTGGGCAGGGATTGGCAAGCTAGGTTGTTATCTATATCTGGTGTTTTACAGGGTTACTGGTACTGGTCGGGGATTGGTAAGCTAGGTTGTTATTTATATCTGGTGTTTTACAGGGTTACCGCTACTGGTCGGGGATTGGTAAGCTAGGTTGTTGTTTATATCTGGTGTTTTACAGGGTTACAGGTACTGGTCGGGGATTGGTAAGCTAGGTTGTCATCTATACCTGGTGTTTTACAGGGTGAACGGTACTGGTCGGGGATTGGTAAGCTAGGTTGTTATTTATATCTGGTGTTTAACAGAGTTACAGGTACTGGTCGGGGATTGGTAAGCTAGGTTGTCATCTATACCTGGTGTTTTACAGGGTTACCGGTACTGGGCAGGGATTGGTAAGGTAGGTTGTTATCTATATCTGGTGTTTTACAAGGGTATCGGTACTGGGCAGGGATTGGTAAGCTAGGTTGTTATCTATATCTGGTGTTTTACAGGGTTACAGGTACTGGTCGGGTATTGGTAAGCTAGGTTGTTATCTATATCTGGTGTTTTACAGGTGTACCGGTACTGGGCAGGGATTGGTAAGCTAGGTTGTTATCTATATCTGGTGTTTTACAGGGTTACCGGTACTGGTCGGGGATTGGTGTAGAGATGAAGTGCGAGTCGGCCCTGACGTACTACAAGAAAGTGGCAGCCACAGGTAACCTATCAGTATAGGTCTCAAGGTGATCTTACACAAAGTATATGTACTGTACCTGGTACATTATTGAAGTGTTTTAATGAACTTAAATCTAATAATACTTTGTTGGATAACTTCATTATTTTGATACAGTTGAAACTCATTAATCAAGCAGTTTTATTAGAAATAAATAGCTTGATATTTTGTTGACTGAGTATAAGAATCTGTCTTTATTATCAATGACAAGTTGTTTTCTTACCAGGTTATATCTTTACTTTCACCATTGTACTATTTACTGCCTGTAAGAATACTGATTTCTATTGCCACCATTATCAATATCTTGATCTTCTCTATACTATCTGATAGTTTACTTCATAACATATAAACTGCCTGTCGGACGTTTGTTGCTTATTCAATGACTGATTACAGTGGCAGATGCGGTGACAGTATCTGGTGGGCCCGTGATACAGCGAGTACGACTACAGGAAGAGGTGGAGAACACTAACTCCGGACAGAGTGCTCTCATGGACGACGATCTGCTCCAGTACTACCATTTCCTGGCTGATAAAGGGGATGTGCAAGCACAGGTAACCTTAAAGACACAGATCATTTTGTATTGGTGATGTACAGACTTGGGTATCTGTTCACTGAAAGAAATATTCTGTCTCTCTAAATTGAAGTTTGGCTGTTAGATATGGTTTCTGTTTTGCTGTAGATATTTGTGTTGGAGTTGAATATTTAATATTTCTGAGATGTTGAATTTTATTTTGTACTTAGGTAGTGCTGGGCCAGCTGTACTACCAGGGAGGCCGAGGTGTTGGGATCAACCATGATGTGAGTATTAGATAACCATTTAACTCCAACCAATGAAGGATGTGTTCTCTGGCTGTACTGCTAGCTAGTATAGGTAGAATGGTCTGTTGACAGGATGTGTGTTCTTCGGCTGTACTGCTAGCTAGTACAGGTAGAATGGTCTGTTGACAGGATGTGTGTTCTCTGGCTGTACTGCTAGCTAGTACAGGTAGAATGGTCTGTTGACAGGATGTGTGTTCTCTGGCTGTACTGCTAGCTAGTACAGGTAGAATGGTCTGTTGACAGGATGTGTGTTCTCTGGCTGTACTGCTAGCTAGTACAGGTAGAATGGTCTGTTGACAGGATGTGTGTTCTCTGGCTGTACTGCTAGCTAGTACAGGTAGAATGGTCTGTTGACAGGATGTGTGTTCTCTGGCTGTACTGCTAGCTAGTACAGGTAGAATGGTCTGTTGACAGGATGTGTGTTCTCTGGCTGTACTGCTAGCTAGTACAGGTAGAATGGTCTGTTGACAGGATGTGTGTTCTCTGGCTGTACTGCTAGCTAGTACAGGTAGAATGGTCTGTTGACAGGATGTGTGTTCTCTGGCTGTACTGCTAGCTAGTACAGGTAGAATGGTCTGTTGACAGGATGTGTGTTCTCTGGCTGTACTGCTAGCTAGTACAGGTAGAATGGTCTGTTGACAGGATGTGTGTTCTCTGGCTGTACTGCTAGCTAGTACAGGTAGAATGGTCTGTTGACAGGATGTGTGTTCTCTGGCTGTACTGCTAGCTAGTACAGGTAGAATGGTCTGTTGACAGGATGTGTGTTCTCTGGCTGTACTGCTAGCTAGTACAGGTAGAATGGTCTGTTGACAGGATGTGTGTTCTCTGGCTGTACTGCTAGCTAGTACAGGTAGAATGGTCTGTTGACAGGATGTGTGTTCTCTGGCTGTACTGCTAGCTAGTACAGGTAGAATGGTCTGTTGACAGGATGTGTGTTCTCTGGTTGTACTGCTAGCTATTACAGGTAGAATGGTTTGTTGACAGGATGTGTGTTCTCTGGCTGTACTGCTAGCTAGTACAGGTAGGATGGTCTGTTGACAGGATGTGTGTTCTCTGGCTGTACTGCTAGCTAGACCAGGTAGAATGGTCTGTTGACAGGATGTGTGTTATCTGGCTGTACTGCTAGCTAGTACAGGTAGAATGGTCTGTTGACAGGATGTGTGTTCTCTGGCTGTACTGCTAGCTAGACCAGGTAGAATGGTCTGTTGACAGGATGTGTGTTCTCTGGTTGTACTGCTAGGTAGTATAGGTGGAATGGTCTGTTGACAGGATGTGTGTTCTGTGGCTGTACTGCTAGCTAGTACAGGTAGAATGGTCTGTTGCCAGGATGTGTGTTCTCTGGCTGTACTGCTAGTTAGTATAGGTAGAATGGTCTGTTGACAGGATGGGTGTTCTCTGGTTGTACTGCTAGCTAGTACAGGTAGAATGGTCTGTTGCCAGGATGTGTGTTCTCTGGCTGTACTGCTAGGTAGTATAGGTGGAATGGTCTGTTGACAGGATGTGTGTTCTGTGGCTGTACTGCTAGCTAGTACAGGTAGAATGGTCTGTTGCCAGGATGTGTGTTCTCTGGCTGTACTGCTAGCTATTACAGGTAGAAAGGTATGTTGACATCTGAAAATAGTTCGATTCTTTGATTCCCTGAAGCAAATATCCCTACTTACATTGACCGAGATTTTGACAGGATGTGTGTTATCTGGCTGTACTGCTAGCTAGTACAGGTAGAAAGGTATGTGGACATCTGAAAATAGTTCGATTCTTTGATTCCCTGAAGCAAATATCCCTACTTACATTGACCGAGATTTTGACAGGATGTGTGTTATCTGGCTGTACTGCTAGCTAGTACAGGTAGAAAGGTATGTTGACATCTGAAAATAGTTCGATTCTTTGATTCCCTGAAGCAAATATCCCTACTTACATTGACCGAGATTTTGACAGGATGTGTGTTATCTGGCTGTACTGCTAGCTAGTACAGGTAGAATGGTCTGTTGACAGGATGTGTGTTCTCTGGCTGTACTGCTAGCTAGTACAGGTAGAAAGGTATGTTGACATCTGAAAATAGTTCGATTCTTTGATTCCCTGAAGCAAATATCCCTACTTACATTGACCGAGATTTTTCTATGACTTTAAAGAATGTTTTGTAGAAAAAAAGACTTCCTGTAATATCCTTAGTAATGTATACATTAAGGTTTGTATTACAGTGAATGTTTAACATATGCTTTTGTAAATAAATATGGAGATAATAATTGAGCACAAGTTTTTACAATAGATATCCCCCACTACTGTGTAGGTTGTAGATAAAAGTTCTGATGTAACTTGGAGACCTTTGTGTTACAGAGAGCTCTCCACTACTTCCTGATGGCTGGGGAGTCAGCCAACGCCAATGCATATGCCTTCCTTGGCAAGGTAGGTTCTTCTTATAATTATCATAAAGCTTTGAAAACTTCTTCATGAAACTACTTGTCTGTAAAAGAAAATTTCTGCTGTGAATCTGAAACTGTTGTCTTACGGGTAAGTTAATCATCTTTTGGACATGTACAGTCATCACTCAATGAAAATACAGTGAACATGATTACCGGTACTACCATCATTCCAAGCTCCGAACAAAGTCAAGAGTGTACCCACTGTCATAGAATTCGTAGGAGTTTTGCATATAAAGAACTAGTTCCTTTTGTCCTGTTCGGTGTCAACTTCGTTATTAATGTTTTTTGTGATGTTTATTCAGATGTACTCTGAAGGAAGTCCAGTTATCAAACAGAACAACCAAACTGCCTTACAGTTCTTCAGACAGGCAGCAGAGAAGGTAAGGTATTGTAATATACAAAAACATTATATATCATTGATTATATTAAAATTCAATCAAATTTTGGCATTACCTCATCATATAAGCAGCATTATATTAAAGAAAGTATTACGATAGTGTGTAGTCAATCCATCTGTCTGACAAGTTAGGTCATCACTTCTGAAGATAAAAGATGTTTTAATAAACCAGAATGTATGTAGCCTAATGTCACTGCATGTTTCACATAACATTTTACTCTAAGATCAAAGTTACAATGAGAGGTCAAAGATCGGACATGTACATGTTACAGGTTTACCCCAGTTCAAAGTTACAATTTGAGGTCAAAGATATATAGGACACGTACATGTAACAGGCTAACTCAGAGTTCATGGTAACAATAAGGGGTCAAAGATATGTCCCAGATCAGTGTACACTGATTTCAAGGTAATGCTACCTGTTTTTCTGTTTCCAGGGTAACCCGGTTGGACAGACTGGACTAGGAGTGATGTACATGTATGGCAAAGGTGTAGAACAGGTAAGTCAATCGTTTGTATAATTAGTTTGAAAACAGATGTAAAAATCCTAAAATTTTACAGAAAAAGCATCATGGAAAAAAGAACTTTGAAAGTAATGCAACACCACAATACAAAAATCAGGAAACAAAAATGTTATGTTAGAGGTAGCACAGCCATAAATATGTAGGCTTTTCTAGGTCCTTTAAAAGAAACCACAGGATCTGCAATAGACTAGTACAGTAGCCTTTCCTAGGTCTTCTGAGAGATACATAGATGTACTTCATGATTTGCCATAAATTAATAGGCTTTCCTGTGTCCTTTGAGAGGAATGTTAGGCTTTCATAAGTCCTCTTAATTTGATAGGGGTACAAATCCCTGTACAGTACATTAATGAACATCTCCCCTCAATTTTACTGACTAAAAGACATTCTGTTGATGTTGTGACAATGTTTTGTAGGATTATATTAAGGCGTTCCAGTACTTCACACAAGCTGCTGAGCAGGGCTGGATGGAGTCCCAACTACAACTTGGACTCATGCACTTCAGTAAGTGCCTCTTATCCTACTACAGTACATCTATGGACAAATTTTAAATCAGCTATATAAGGTGTATTGTGATGATTTGAGATTTTTTTTGAGGTGATACAGATTACTGTTGAAATCATCACAAGGTTAAAGGTGTTATGGCATACACATTAATACCTCTGCAGATTAAATGATAGTTTCTATAGGCTAGATTTAATATTTATGGACTGATTGTCGCCAATTTTGCCATAAGGTGCGTTTGGGTTTATACAGACTGCTTGTGAAGTTAACACTGAACATCTTACTTCCGCTAGCGGTATAACACTCCCACTGAACTGCATTGGTTATTGTCTGATATGAGAGTGTACACAAACCTTCCATTGTTTCCTTATTGTTGCCCAATGATCAAATATGAAGTCATTGCATTCTTTCTGGCTGGAATTAAAGCAGTTTTAGTGTGTAGAGTATGATTTATGTCTTACTCCATGTGTTTACTCTTTGTGTTATGTCTTTGTTTATAGGTGGGAAAAGGGTCGAAGACTGGTGACTATTAGTCAGTAAATGTGTTACACTTTCTGTTTACAGGTGGAAAAGGGGTGAGGAGAGACTACAAGCTGGCTGTGAAATACTTCAACCTTGCCTCACAAGGCGGCCATGTCTTAGCCTTCTTCAACCTGGCTCAGATGCATGCTACAGGCACAGGTGTGCTGAGGAATTGTCACACCGCAGTGGAGGTAGGTTCTGTCTCTATAGCAATAGTTGAAAATAAGAAAGCTGTAAGATCTGTTTGATATCTGATTTATGAAACCTGTACTTTAACATCATCAATATGGTCTCTAATTGCAGTTGTTTAAGAACGTGGCTGAGCGGGGTCGTTGGGCGGAGATGCTTTCGGAGGCCCATAGTCTGTATAAGGAGGGTAATCTGTTTCATTCGCTTATCAAGTACACTTTCCTAGCTGAGCTTGGCTACGAGGTCGCCCAGTCCAACGTCGCTTTCATACTTGACCAAGGTAACCCTACTTATTATTTTTTTAGTGTCACAGTGCTGGCAGCAGTTGTGATGTTTTGTTATTGATATAAATTCTTCTCTGGATTTTGACGTTTGTTGTGTTCTGTGCCTTCCTAAAGTGTGAATATCTATTACGATTTATTACTCTTACATTCATAGAAAAGGAAGTCTTTTGAATAATGAACTTTAAGGCAGCAGGAAGATTTCATAGATTTGAAATCAGACATTACATGTTCAATGACATGCTTGAATGTCCTTGTAGGTGAGATTGGTGATTTCCACGAAACAGAGATCTTTGAGCGTGCATTATTGCAGTGGGCACGTGCAGCTGCGCAGGGGTCAACGTCGGCGCGTGTGAAGATGGGTGATTACCACTACTACGGCCAGGGGACTAAGATAGACTACGAGACAGCTGCCTCCCACTACCGTTTGGCCTCAGAGCAGCAGCATAATGCTCAGGCCATGTTCAACCTAGGATACATGCATGAGAAGGGCCTGGGTCTCAAACAGGTACAGCTATTTCTCCATTGTTATCTTTACCTTTGTCATGATGAACATCTGCTTGAGAGATGTAGGGAAGTTTTTTTACTATGGAAGCAGCAGTCCAGCAGTAAAGGGACCTAATGAGATAATGTCTGATTATCTCTTGTTTTATGTAAGCTCTTTTGTAGAGGAAATCATAAAGTTGTAGAATAGCTGTATAAACAAGTTTGTCTAAACTTCCGTTCAAAAGGGCTGTGTACCCTTCAAAAACAGATTATTTGTGTGCTTTATTAAAAGATCAATGTTTCTGTATTTCAGGATGTTCACCTGGCCAAGCGTTTCTATGACATGGCGGCAGAAACCAGTATAGATGCGCAAGTACCTGTCATGCTGGCCCTTGCCAAGCTTGGTGTATTTTATGGGGTTGACATCTTCAACAAAGAGGTAAGTCTCTGGGTTTTATGGCTACATTGGGAGTGGGATTAAGTGTTGGGGATACATTGGTAAATGTTGTTATTTTGTAACAGACACTGGTATTGTGTGTCCACCTTTAATTACTGAACAATCACAAGACTTGAACTACATATAGTTACTGAACAATCACATGACTAGAAATACATGTAATTATTGAACAACCACATGGTATTTGAAAATTATATGACATGTCCTATGTTTTATACAGATGGAGGATTATAACCAACTGTTGCTGAAATTTGACCCACGTTTCTACCTCGGACCAGACTGGGATATCTATGTGATGACATTCCTTGCCCTTCTCCTAGGTTTCATTGTACTTCTGCGAAGGATCCGGTAGCCCCCCAGCACACTCATATTCAGATTGAAACAGTTTAAGTGGTGCTACTACACAATATCAACAATGGCTTTATCACCTAGAGAGATAAAAGGATAAAGAGGAGAGTCGACATTTCTTCTTATATATGGCACAAATTAAATGATGAAAAACATTCTATGCTTCTACACCAACTCATGATCTGAGGTCATTGCTGATCTGACTGGGTCAACAGTGCTACAGTACTAGTCCTCAATCTACAGGTTATGCCATCACTTGTCTGGAAACAAAATGTCATCAAACTCTACAGTGCTTAGTGTACAGTTAATGGATTGACACTCGGTGAATGTCCAGATACATTACAAGGAATAAATATGGAGAGATCTGACATCAGTACAGGTCTCATGAAAACCATTTTTTTAGGAGAAACCTTGCCTTAAAACATTACTTTAGAATTTTGAAGATGTCTATTGAAGATGTTGATGAACAGGAAAGACAAAATTCTCAAAAATTAGATAACATACTATACGATTCTAGTTCTCTCAAACTGTTGTGCCACAGGGGTTTCATAATTGTTATAGACACTTATACTTGGATATGGGCTATATGAAATTGTAGACCCTACTGTCCTCAAACATCAACTGTTCTAGTCCCCAATACCCTGACACAGAGATTGAATTATATTGTTGCCCTGTTAGAGAAGGTGTGTCCCCTATGCCTAACAAGGTTCTGTCAGAGTTGGTGGGTCCCCATGCCAATGTTCCATAAGGTTCTGTCAAAGTGTGTCCACTAATACCTCACAAAGTTCTGTCTAAGTGGGTGCATGATATATTTTAATGGAGGCTGGTTAGGCCAGCAATCATACTCCCAGCTAAAAGTGCCTGGATTATGAAACAGCGCAATTTTAGGACAATTAAAAGAAGTAGAATATTTTTTGATGGAATATTGGATTATCCAGCATAGTAGAGGCCAAATATACCATACCTGCTATAAGTTTCATCTCTCCCAGCCCAGGTTTGGACAATTTCAGTGTGTAATGTCGCACCATTTTGCATTTTTCATGTAATGGAGGAAAGAAAATATCCAACTCTTAATGATCAGATATGATTTATATCCATTCTCATAAGCTCATTATCCAGAAAATTGTACTCCCTGAAGCTTTGTTTATTTGGAAATAAATCATGATCAGTCATAGTGAGTTAGATATCCTCCATATACTTTGTTAGTGTGGACAGGGGTTTCCAAAATACAATTTGTAGAGTGAGAGAAGGGGAAGTTAATATCTACTCTAGACTTACACTTGTTAAGAGAAATTCAATGTAAAAGATGGGGTTGTAAAGATGTTGGTAAAAAAGTGATGAATGAGGAAAATATTTTGATACGTAAGAATATTTGTTATTTGTGTTCTATCAAATCTAAAATCTATAATATATATGCAAACGTTTATAGAATCATGCTATTTATTTTGTAAATGAGTGTGGTATACGTGTGATGTTTGTATGGGAAATTACTATGTGGTACATGGTGTATGTGTGCTTGTATAAATGTGTGTATTGGTATTGACTATGTGTTATGTGTGTTTGTATGAATGTGTGTACGGGTGTTTGCCATAGAAACCAATGGGAGTGCTTGATTACTCTGTTCAAAAGAAAGATAAAAAAGTCAGAAATTTAAATGTAAAAGTGTGATTAATGAACTATTAGAAGAGTGGACTTGGTAGATAGAGTGGTATTTGTTGATTGAAAACTAAAAGAGGATTAGGAATAAATGGCATGGTCATATAAGTTAATACATAGATTTTGCAATATAAGTATATAATGATTATTTAAAGTATGGTATTCTGGTGTTGTCAAATATTGTGGGTAATTCTAGACTCTAGGTCGACCAAGGAAGCCTGTCAAGGTAGTTGTAAGTATAGTGACCTCCCAAGGTACATGTAATTATGGTGAAATGTCCGAGTACAAGTAACCATGGTGAAATGTCTGGATATAAGTAACCATGGTGACCTGTCAAGGTACATGTATGCAGAATAATCTACCAAGGTACAAGTAACCATGGTGAAATGTCTGGGTACAAGTAACCATGGTGAAATGTCTGGGTACAAGTAACCATTGTGACCCGTCAAGGTACATGTATGCAGAATAATCTACCAAGGTACAAGTAACCATAGTGAAATGTCAGGGTACAAGTAACCTTGGTGACCTGTCTAGGTACAAATGACCATAGTGACCTGTCTAGGTACAAGTGACCATATTGACCTGTCTAGGTACAAGTAACCTTGGTGTCCTGTCCAGTTATATGTAACCATAGTGACCTGTCCAGGTACATGTTACCATAGTGACCTGTCTAGGTACAAGTGACCTTGGTGACCTGTCCAGTTATATGTAACCATAGTGACCTGTCCAGGTACATGTTACCATAGTGACCTGTCTAGGTATATGTAACCATGGTAGGCAAGAGATACCATGAAAGCCTTGGACACAACTAGACAGATTTTTATCTTCTTTTCTGCTAATTAGTTAAGTTTGTTTAATTGTTGTATTTAAAGAAGAATTTTCCATGCTATATTTGTGTGATGACTTTAGAATTGGTATTTTACACCTTAACACAGCAACTTCTGTACAGGTTTGTAAATGGTAATCATGAATGTCATTAAAGGTGTTTATATAATATAATGTGTGAACAATGCATTATGATATATCAGACATTTTGTTCTACCATATCTTTGCAGCATTGGTCTGTAATTGGTGAACTTGTCTACATTAGATAGCTCATGGTGAAGTACAGACGGGCTACCTACAACAGTGTGGTGGTCAAGCTCTAGTATCACATACTTGGTTTTATGAGACAGCATATTCCCTGTACCTCCCCTTACATTTTCTGTTTCTTTTTATGGAAAATGATATCTATATTAGCAAGTGTGTTGTGATCATGGACCCATCTGTCGAGAAGCCCGACTCCATCTACGACTGTCTGATGTACTTTACTATTATCATTTTTTTTTATTTGATGTTTTACTTTTACAACACCAGTATAATAGCATGTTGATGTGTTACAAACCTTCTACAAGATCTAGCAGGTCCACACTTAACAAGTTTTAATGCAATCTTGAATGAAGCACTGGATACAACTGACTACAAAAAAGTGTATCATTAGTGGGATGTTAATTGAAATTTATTTCATTATTTACTGTAAAGTGCTTATATTTCAAGAATTTTTGCTTTCGCTATATATGTTACCAGAAACACAGGTGACATAAAACTCTGAAACTGTTGCGGTTCTAATCAAGTAGTTTTACTTTATCAATGGTATTGTCTGTGATTTGTTGCCATTCTGATAAAGAGTTTACCTAATTTAATGATGTTGTGGGAAATTGTTAACACCGCCAAATTAAATCACACAGAGTGTTCTATATTAGCTTGGTATTTAATGTTTTTATTGTGCATTTTTTTCTCCAGATCCAGAGCATAAAGTTGCAATGTACATGAAATCATGTAGACATTCCGATATTGGTAATAAGTTGGGGGTTACCTGTATCCTTTTTTACCATTAATATGTGATTAATGTCTCTTTTTTACCAGCTTGCATCTCATTTTTAACCAGTGATATATAATTAGCATCTCTCCACATCAGTGTCCGCGTGAATGTTGTGTGCGTGTAAGCTGTGTGGGTCTCAAGCTGTTAGATATACACACAGAAGTAATACAAACTTGTGTGATACAGAAATAAAACATCTAAACAGTGCTCTTGTCTCTGTCTTCTTCATTTTGTGGGCAATTATATATAATTATCTCCCATGATTACAAGTTATCTCCCTTGAGAAATAGCACATGTGTGTGTTCAGAACTGAAGCAAAAATGGTTCAATGACTTTCACTTATAGATGCCCTGATGAAGAGTGCTCCCTGCAGTTTAGAAAATATTATGAGAAGATTTTCAGTTCTGAGAAAACGTGTATAATCAATTAGCATACTGTGCTCTGGTCATTGATGTGTTGATAGTTGTTGTCAAATATGACTTGATTCTGATGAAAATTTATCAAAAATTATATTATACATTGACAAAATCTAATCGTAATTTATTTGGTCAATATTTACACTTAATAAGGTCTAATAAGAAAATCTGCTAATAATTGGTAAGTAATCAGAAATATGTTTGGTTTAAAAGGTGTAAGATGCATTAATTTTTGGCAAAAGGGGCCATTTTAATTTCTATTTTCATGGTTTGAAATATAGACAGGGAAACAGTTCCTATGTTAATTTTTAGCTAACCTGGTCCGAAGGACCAAGGTGAGTTTATGCCATACCATGGCGTCCGTTGTACGTCCGTACGTCAACAATTTCTTTAAACGACTTCTTCTTAACCACTGATTGGAATTCAACTAAATTTGACTGGAAGCATCCCTAGGTGGTGGGGATTCAAAATTGTACTTTAAGCTTTAAGCAACTTCTTCTCTGGAACTAAGAGATGGACATCAACCATATTTGACTGGAACCATCCCTAGGTAGTGGAGATTCAAAATTGTAGAACTATACACTGGTTATCGATCATATTTGACGAAAAGCATTCATGGGAGTCAGGGATTCAAAATTGTACAAATGGTGGGGCTGACCAAAAGTGTTATTTGGCTATATTGCTTTAAACGACTTCTTCTCTGAAGCTAAGAGATGGATATCAACCATATTTGACTGTAAGCATCCCTAGGCGATGGGAATTCAAAATTGTACAAATGGCGAGGCTGAGGGATGGGGCAAAAAGGGGGCTATTTTGCTATAAATGTCCTCTTCTGTAGAACTATGCCATGGATATCGATCATATTTGGTCAGAAGCATTCATGGGAGGCAGGGATTCAAAATTGTATAAATGATAGGGCTGACCCCCCTGGCTAGGGGGTGGGGCCAAAAAAAGTTTATTACTTGGAAATGGTCGAGATCCCCACCATATAACCATATATACAATTGCTGAGTATAGAGAGAAGAATGCACATTTGCTAATAGGATGGCCCTAGGGTCTGGCCCCACCCTTGGAGACCTAGTCCCTGGGTCATAACTTTGAAACAGTTGAGATCCCCACCCCAAAACTATATATGCAAATGCTGGGCAAAAAGAGACAAATGCAGTCATGATATAAGAATTGATCCTGGGGTCTGGCCACAACCCTAGGGACCTAGTTTCTGCGTCAGAGCTTGGAAACAGTTGAGATCCCCACCCCATAACCATACATAAAATTGCTTGGCATGAAAAATCCAATACAGATATGCTACAAGGATTGGTCTTGGGGTCTGGCATATTCCCTTGGATCTCATTTGGAGAATATTTTGCCATGATTGCTTAGATATCCAGGTGAGCAATACAGGCCCTGTGGGATTCTTGTTTTATATGCATTCCGTCTGCTTAAGTAAGTCAAGCAAGTATATCATGTTCTCCTTTTACTATGTCCCAGGTATAGTTCTCAACTTAGTTGAGTAATACAGTACAAATGTAGATACTTGTCTTTAATACAGTATACATTAGAAACATTTGCAGTATGGGTCAGTCCGGTATGGAACAGGCGTATCTTGTTCTGCCTTGTAGTNACTGGACTATACTGGAATCATTCTGTCCGTCCATTAGTCTCTTTCACCAGAGGGCAGTGTTTTTTACCTTCGTTTCCTGACGTTATGTCAACGCCATTAAACATTTCAATGAAAAATGAAATTAATGAAAAAAACTTACCTATACATGCATTCCTGAAGTACCCGTGTATTCACTATTATCGAGAACAATGTAAGAAATGTGTCAAATCTCAAGAATATTGCCATATATTTCCACTGAATAAATCATAACTGAGCACAAAGCCAACAAGGCTGACTGAAGTTGGAAAAAGCATGCAAAGCAAGTGAGATTTTACCTGTACACCATTCAAAACACCTTCAAGTTCTCACTCGGGTAATCTGGCTCGACTTGTATCAAAAGCCTTGTTAACTTCATGAATAATAATGATAATGAAAACATGGATACTTCAGGAATGCATGCACATGTAATTTTTTCATGAATTAAAATATTCAATGTAAATTCAGACTTCAAAAGTTGAAAAGGGTGTGTCAACCTTTGACCAATGAAATCATTTACCAGAATCCTGGTAAGCCTCGTTATGATTTCACAAAACGAAAGCACTGGGTTTGACAAGACTCTGTTCGGCGTAGCTTGCGCAGACAACTGTAGTCTGATTGAACGAGACAATCCGTCCGTCCGTCCTTTCGCCTGTAGACAAAAATTTGTACCTACTACTCCTCCTAGGTTTATGCATGGATTTTGATGAAACTTTATACACGTTATACCTGAAATGAACTTGTGTCTCCCAGAATGCTGTTATGTTCCTTCAATGGCCCTTGACTTCTGTAGGCAGTACATTATGCTACTGAAATGGTAGGTATTTTGTATAGTTAATGAAAGCTACTCTTCTGACAAACTTCTGAGGTCATGGGGTCAAAGGTCACGAATGAATTACCTTACTGAAATGACTAATTATCTCGGAAACAGTAGGTATTTTATATTCACATACACATTGGAATATTGTAGGGATTAATGAAAGCTATTCCACTAGTTGACAAACTTCTGAGGTCAAGGGGTCAAAGGTCAAAGGTCACGAATTAATTGTGTTACTGAAATGGCTAAATATCACGGAAACGGTAGGTATTTTGTATACACATTGGAAAATTGTACGGATTAATGAAAGCTACTCCACTGACAAACTTCTGATGTCTTGAGGTCAAAGGTCAAAGGTCACCAATGAATTACGTTACTAAAATGGCCAAATAAATGAATTACGTTACTGAAATGGCTAATTATCTTGGAAACAGTAGGCATTTTGTATACACATATACATTAGAGTATCGTAGCAAATTATGCAGGCTATATTGTGACAAACTTCTAAGGTCATGAGGTTAAAGGTCACAGATGCATTATGTTACTGAAATGGCTAACTATCGCAGAAATGGTAGGTATTTTGTATACTCATACCTTGGAGTATATGTAGCATTGTTGCAAGCTACATTTTGACAAAATTCTGAGGTCATTGAGTCCAAGGTCACAGTAGTAGTGTTTTGACTTTTCCATCATTCTGTCGATCGACATCTGAAGTTAGACTTTTTCATGACCCTAAATATAGTCCTATACATATTTTCCCTTGTTACTTTAGCCCTTACAGGGCAACAAGCAGACGGAATACGGGGGTATTAGTTAGCCCATAGGCGACAGTTCTAGTTAGCCACTGCAATGGATAAACTTGATGAAAAGATCAGAAAAACAAATTGGATACTGTTCTATTTATTTTTAAGTTAACAGTGCATACATATGTTAGTGAAGTAAGGCTCTTTTGGCTTAAAGCTGTACACCTGTATATGTCAGTAGTAATTGATTAAAGTTCGACAATCATGGAAGCTGGTAGTTACAACACAATGAACTTCAAATCATGGCTGTATTCTGTATGGAGTGTAGGAATTGTAAGACATGTTATCATTTTCTGAGGATGTACAGTGCAGTATGATGATAAAACAAAAGAAACTAGAAAAACACCAATTCTTCACCTATATAAAGTTACCATGGTGAAAGAATAAGTTTGTACTTTCTATAGATTTATTCTATACATTATATAACTTTCATAAAAAAATGTTTTGCAGTAGTAGCTGAAAATATAATATTACAATTTAATTACAGGTAGAGTAACAAGTGATAAGAGTCCTTCCTTCACAGATAGCAGAAAACCCCAGTATTAATATGGAAGCACATGACTGACTGAATAAGTCTTATGAACACGATATATTCAGGCAGCTCTTATCAGCAAACATTGTCAAGGTCTTTAGCCTTGGAGGGCATTAATGTACACTTCTATATCATATAGTATCTTTTTAACTTGGTAACAAAAACAAATATGCATTATTTTCACAAGACTTCATCTTAAAATTGTGTCGGATAGTTGTGATTTTCTTGTAACATGATAATTGTACTAGGGTATATAAATTTCTGTAACAAGACCACATAGTGGTTGAAGTTGGTTTCTTTACTTTGGTAGTGCATCCAAGATATTCAATTAACTTGGGTAAACAGTGTTGTAATTATCTCCCCCTTATGGAAGTGCATGAGGAAGTGATTTAACCAGAAAGTTACTATATAGGATCACCACCATGAGTCTATAACGGTCAGTAACACACATTCAAACAACACCATAACACTATATAATTTAATTTTGCCTATCTCCCCCATAATATTTTTTTTGGTATATATCGTATATACCTAAAAAGAAAAACTGATGACGGAACTACTTTTTACACTTCAGAATGCAAAATTACAACGCAGCTTTTTTTTAGCGGAATTGTTTAGTTTACGTAAAAATTAAATAAATCTTTAACTGTGCATTTACAACGTGTTTGTCTACTTTAATCTAAATTAAATTATAAAGAATGACCAAGATTTTGTTTTGGTATATCCGGTATATACCGAAAAGAAATTGTGCACTTTTTTGCATAAACCGCTTCACGGATTTATGCAAAGTGCACAATTTTTTTCGGTATATACCGTATATCGTATATACCAAAACAAAATCTTGGTCAGCCCTTAAATATAACAAGTCAATAACCTGAAAACAGCTAAGTATAGGACTATAACACTAAATGGAATGCAGTTCAATTCCTTTTAATTATATTTCCCTTTGACTTTTCTGTCATGATCATCACCTCAGTGTAAAGTCTTATAAATCACAGCTTACTTTGGTAGGTTTGTATAATGGCAAATAATGTGGAACAAGTATAAAATGTAGAGAACTAAAAACCCTGAGACTAAAGGTCAGTTATATACATACCACTAAATTTTTAGTCTATTCTATCATGCAATCAGTTGCAAATCAGACAAAAATCACTTAAACTATTTTGATGCTAACTTATTGAGATCCACCTGATGAAAGTTGATTTTAATTTTTTTTATTCAGATAATACATAATGGACAATTTTAACAATTTTGATTATGAGAACAAAACTTGAGAAAGTAAGGATAATATCAATTTGAGGCAGTCAAGTATTGCATCCACAAAATATAGGGCATCAACATGATAAAATATATTGCCGAACTGTTAACTTATCAGAAATATATTGCACAAACCAATCTCTGGGTATTATATTTGTAGTACATGCACTGTTATAAGATCAACATTTCAATTTTCTGGTCAATCATATTTCACATCTGACATCAGTCGTCTACTGTGCTACAAATAAGATGTAAAGTTGTAATTGCTACAGAAATTTGACCTAACCTCCAACGTGATAAGACAAAATTACCCTTTTTTTTTTTTTTCAATTTTTCTATACAGTACAATGAGAGACATTAGTGAACGCCCTTGCTTCGTCACTAGACGGTCTACTGACAGAAGCATTGCATGCAAATGCCACAGACACACAAAGATATTTTCAAAATATTCATCAGAAGAACAAGCAGAATAATCAAAATATGTTCTTGTTTGAAACAGTATTGTAATTATTTACTGTTAAAAAAAAGTGTTTTTTTTAATAAATTAATTAAAGGAAAAATGATTTGCACCTCATGCTTAAAAACTGTTAAAATAATGCCTTTCATAAATTTTATATGCTTCAGATATTTATAGAATGTGTTTTATATGCTTCAGATATTTATAGAATGTGTTTTACTTGATTCAATACTTGCAACTCTACAGTTAGCATTAGGTTTGTAAGACGAACTTGGTGGCAGCGGCATCTGCAAGGGAGATAACTCACTGTTATCTCATTGTTCTAACATATAATGCTTATCAACATAAGTATACATATGTATCCTTCAGGGCACATGTTTTAGTTTATATCTATAACACATGACAATGAACCAGTAATAGCAGTATATTACAACTCATTGGTTTTTTTATATGGATGCTTATATCTCATTGACAAGAACAGAAAAGGCACGGGGAAGATGGAGGGAGACAACCCAGCACCGTGGAGAACCAAGCTCCTATAAAGAACGGGGCTTACCTATTATTTAATGCCTGTTTTAAACATCCTTCCACAAGGGTAACTACCCAGTACAATATGTCCTAAAAGTAAGACACTATATGGTGTAAGTATATCGTTTGTGAAATGCACAATGTTAGTGACTATTGACCACAATATGTTTATATGATATTTGGCTAAGTTATGTTATCCTGGTAGCTGTCTCCAGTGAAACTATTTTAACTATACAATTTTGTTATGGTTAACTCAAATATATCTTAATGTCATGATGTCACAGTTGAGCATGCTAATCAACGTGATATCACTTCAGTATGATGACCAATTAGAGCAAGGTGACCAATAAGACATTCACTTGGATACAAATGTACCCTGAATGACATGACATCATTTGTACGCTGATCAATACCCCATCACTTCAGTATGATGATCAATATGACATCACTATTGAGCACGCTGAACAACATGACATGTTGAATGTTGAGTACCCTGACCAGTATGCCATCACTTCAGTATGTGGATCACTGTTGAGCACGCTGAACAACATGACATGTTGAATGTTGAGTACCTTGACCAGTATGCTATCACCTGGGTAACATAAACAGCATGACACCACTGTTGATGTTACTAATCAGCACTCAATCCACTTGGNCATCACTTCTGTATGTGGATCACTATTGAGCACGCTGAACAACATGACATGTTGAATGTTGAGTACCCTGACCAGTATGCCATCACTTCAGTATGTGGATCACTATTGAGCACGCTGAACAACATGACATGTTGAATGTTGAGTACCCTGACCAGTATGCTATCACCTGGGTAACATAAACAGCATGACACCACTGTTGATGTTACTAATCAGCACTCAATCCACTTGGTAGAAGTCAGAGATTCTCCGGGCAAGTATTACAGCTTTCATCTGTGGTGAAACTAGGTGGCGGTGCAGCATTCTCATTGTGGCGGCTGGACTCCGTGCCCATGTCTCAAACACATGTTTCATTGGGTATTCTAGTCGAAAACGCTGCCATTCTGCTATTGTCTCCATGGAAATTCCTACCCTCTCTGCCATCATCCTCCAATCAGCACCTGAATAAGGAATCGGTCATAAATACCTGACTTTGTACAGAAAGCATTGCAATTGTGCCTAAGTGAAAAGGATTAAAATTGGTATTCTGTATCCTTATACTATCCAAAACAATAAGCTACATGTGTGTTAAAGCTTTAACCTTAACAAATGACCTCCAAAACTATTTGCTTTAGGATTCAACCTTGACGTGTGACCTTCAAAACCACAGGCTTTATGAGAGCTTTGACATGGAAAAATGACCTCCAAAATAGTAGGCTTTGTTAAACTTTTATGCTTGATGAATGACCTCCATTTTTTTTGTCTTTGTGAGATATTTAACCTTGATAAATGACCTCCAAAACAATAGGCTTTGCGAAAGCTTTGACATTAAATAATGACCTAAAAAACAATGAGCTATGCCTTGGACAAACTATACACCTGGAAGGGTCAAATCTACTAACCAATTTGGGCGAAACATGGCATGCAGTAAACATACCTCACTATAATGGGAGAATGCATGAAGTACAAACCATTGGTCTTGTAGAGGCTGAGCTCACTGATGAGGTAGTGTTGCAGACCAGCATCCATCTTACTGACTAGTGTGTCGCCAGGAAGCTTCCTCACAGGCTGAAACAACAAGCAATTTAAGGCATTCTTAATCATGGGTAAAATTTAGATCAGAGAACCCTGGATCAATACATTAGTACTAGTGTCTCATGGATCAATACATTAGTACTAGTGTCTCATGGATCAATACATGAGTACTAGTGTCTCATGGATCAATATATTAGTACTAGTGTCTTATGGATCAATACATGAGTACTAGTGTCTCATGGCTCAATACATGAGTACTAGTGTCTCATGAATCTATACATAAGTACTAGTGTCCCCTGGATTTATAAATAAGTACTAGTGTCCCCTGGATCTATACATTGGTACTAGTGTCCCCTGGATCTATACATGGGTACTAGTGTCCCCTGGATCAATACATTGGTACTAGTGTCCCCTGGATCTATACATGGGTACTAGTGTCCCCTGGATCTATACATGGGTACTAGTGTCCCCTGGATCTATACATTGGTACTAATGTCCCCTAGATCTATACATGAGTACTAGTGTCTCATGGATCAATATATTAGTACTAGTGTCTCATGGATCTTTACATTAGTACTAGAGTCTCATGGATCAATACATGAGTACTAGTGTCTCATGGATCTTTACATTAGTACTAGTGTCCCCTGGATCTATACATTAGTGCTAGTGTCTCATGGATCAATACATTAGTACTAGTGTCTCATGGATCTTTACATTAGTACTAGAGTCTCATGGATCTATACATTAGTACTAGTGTCTTCTGGATCAATACATTAGTACTATTGTCTCATGGATCAGTACATGAGTACTAGTGTCTTCTGGATCAATACATTAGTACTAGTGTCTTATGGATCAATACATAAGTACTAGTGTCCCCTGGATCTATACATAAGTACTAGTGTCCCTGGATCTATACATTGGTACTAGTGTCCCCTGGATGTATACATTTGTACCAGTGTCTCATAGATCTATTCATGTGGATCACTATTGAGCACGCTGAACAACATGACATGTTGAATGTTGAGTACCTTGACCATTATGCCATCACTTCAGTACGTGGATCACTACTGAGCACGCTGAACAACATGACATGTTGAATGTTGAGTACCCTGACNCAGTGTCTCATAGATCTATTCATTAGTACTAGTGTCTCCTGGATCTATACATTGGTACTAGTCTCCCCTGGATCTATACATGAGTACCAGTGTCCCCTGGATCTATACATAAGTACTAGTGTCCCCTGGATATATACATTGGTACTATTGTCTCCTGGATTTATACATTGGTACGAGTGTCCCCTGGATCTATACGTTGGTACTAGTGTCTCCTGGATTTATACATTGGTACTAGTGTCTTCTGGATTTATACATTGGTACTAGTGTCCCCTGGATCTATACATTGGTACTAGTGTCTCCTGGATCTATACATTGGTACTAGTGTCCCCTGGATCTATACATTGGTACTAGTGTCCCCTGGATCTAGACATTAGTACTAGTGTCCCCTGGATCTATACATAGGTAATAGTGTCCCCTGGATCTATACATTGGTACTAGTGTCCCCTGGATCTATACATTGGTACTAGTGTCCCCTGGATCTATACATTAGTAACAGTGTCCCCTGGATCTATACATTGGTACCAGTGTCTCCTGGATCTATACATTAGGACTAGTGTCTCCTTGATCTATACATTGGTACATGTATTCCCTGAATCTATACATTGGTACTAGTGTCCCCTGGATCTATACATTAGTACTAGTGTCCCCTGGATCTTTACATTGGTACTAGTGTCCCCTGGATTTAAACATTAGTACTAGTGTCTCCTTGATCTATACATTGGTACATGTATTCCCTGGATCTATACATTGGTACTAGTGTCCCCTGGATCTATACATTGGTACTAGTGTCTCCTGGATCTATACATTGGTACTAGTGTCCCCTGGATCTATACATTGGTACTAGTGTCCCCTGGATTTAAACATTATTACTAGTGTCTCCTGGATCTATACATTGGTACTAGTGTCCCCTGGATCAATACATGAGTACTAGTGTCTTATGGATCAATATATTAGTACTAGTGTCTCATGGATCAATACATGAGTACTAGTGTCTTATGGATCAATATATTAGTACTAGTGTCTCATGGATCAATACATTAGTACTAGTGTCTCATGGATCAATACATTAGTACTAGTGTCTCATGGATCTATACATTATTACTAGTGTCTCCTGGATCTATACATTAGTACTAGTGTTCCCTGGATCTATACATTGGTACTAGTGCCCCCTGGATCTATACATTGGTACTAGTGTGTCCTGAATCAATACATTGGTACTAGTGTCCCCTGGATCTACACATTAGTACTATTGTCTCCTGGATCTATACATAGGTACTAGTGTCTCCTGGATCTATACATAAGTACTATCTATACATTGGTACTAGTGTCTCATGGATCTATACATTAGTACTAGTGTTCCCTGGATCTATACATTGGTACCAGTGTCTCCTGGATCTATACATTAGTACTCCTGGATTTAAACATTATTACTAGTGTCTCCTGATCCCCTGGATCTATACATTGGTACTAGGATCTATACATTGGTACTAGTGTCTCATGGATCTATACATTGGTACTAGTGTCTTCTGGATCTATACATATGTACTAGTGTCCCCTGGATCTATACATATGTACTAGTGTCCCCTGGATCTGTACATTGTTACTAGTGTCCCCTGGATCTATACATTAGTACTATTGTCTCCTGGATCTATACATAGGTACTAGTGTTCCCTGGATCTATACATTGGTACTAGTGTCTCATGGATCTATACATACAATGTAGATACTAGTGTCTCCTGGATCTATACATTGGGACTAGTGTCTCCTGAATCAATACATTGGTACTAGTGCCCCCTGGATCTATACATTGGTACTAGTGCCCCCTGGATCTATACATTGGTACTAGTGCCCCCTGGATCTATACATTGGTACTAGTTTCCCCTGGATCTATACATTAGTACTATTGTCTCCTGGATCTATACATTGGTACTAGTGGCCCCTGGATCTATACATTGGTACTAGTTTCCCCTGGATCTATACATTAGTACTATTGTCTCCTGGATCTATACATTGGGACTAGTGTCTCCTGAATCAATACATTGGTACTACTGTCCCCTGGATCTATACATTGGTACTAGTGCCCCCTGGATCTATACATTGGTACTAGTGTGTCCTGAATCAATACATTGGTACTAGTGTCCCCTGGATGTATACATTGGTACTAGTGTCCCCTGGATTTAAACATTATTACTAGTGTCTCCTGATCCCCTGGATCTATACATTGGTACTAGGATCTATACATTGGTACTAGTGTCTCCACATGGGTACTAGTGTCCCCTGGATCAATACATGAGTACTAGTGTCTTATGGATCAATATATTAGTACTAGTGTCTCATGGATCAATACATTAGTCCCAGTGGCTCATGGATCAAGACATGAGAACTAGTGTCTCATGGATCAATATATTAGTACTAGTGTCTCATGGATCAATACATTAGTCCCAGTGGCTCATGGATCAAGACATGAGAACTAGTGTCTCATGGATCAATATATTAGTACTAGTGTCTCATGGATCAATACATTAGTCCCAGTGGCTCATGGATCAAGACATGAGAACTAGTGTCTCATGGATCAATATATTAGTACTAGTGTCTCATGGATCAATACATGAGTACTAGTGTCTTATGGATCAATATATTAGTACTAGTGTCTCATGGATCAATACATTAGTCCCAGTGGCTCATGGATCAAGACATGAGAACTAGTGTCTCATGGATCAATATATTAGTACTAGTGTCTCATGGATCAATACATGAGTACTAGTGTCTCATGGATCAATATATTAGTACTAGTGTCTCATGGATCAATACATTAGTACTAGTGTCTCATGGATCTTTACATTAGAACTAGTGTCCCCTGGATCTATACATTAGTAACAGTGTCCCCTGGATCTATACATTGGTACTAGGATCTATACATTGGTACTAGTGTCTCCACATGGGTACTAGTGTCCCCTGGATCAATACATTGGTACTAGTGTCCCCTGGATCAATACATTGGTACTAGTGTCCCCTGGATCTATATATTAGTACTAGTGTCTCCTGGATCTATACATGAGTACTAGTGTCCCCTGGATCTATACATGAGTACTAGTGTCCCCTGGATCTATACATAGATACTAGTGTCCCATGGATCTATACATTAGTACTAGTGTTCCCTGGATCTATACATTAGTACTAGTGTCCCATGGATCTATACATTAGTACTAGTGTCTCATGGATCAATACATGAGTACTAGTGTCTTATGGATCAATATATTAGTACTAGTGTCTCATGGATCAATACATGAGTACTAGTGTCTTATGGATCAATATATTAGTACTAGTGTCTCATGGATCAATACATTAGTACTAGTGTCTCATGGATCTATACATACAATGTAGGTACTAGTGTCTCACTAGTGTCCCCTGGATCTATACATTGCTGCTAGTGTCCCCTGGATCTATACATTGGATCTAGTGTCTCCTGGATCTATACATTGGGACTAGTGTCTCCTGAATCAATACATTGGTACTAGTGTCCCCTGGATTTAAACATTATTACTAGTGTCTCCTGGATCTATACATTGGGACTAGTGTCTCCTGAATCAATACATTGGTACTAGTGTCCCCTGGATGTATACATTGGTACTAGTGTCCCCTGGATGTATACATTGGTACTAGTGTCTCCTGGAGTTATACATTGGTACTAGTGTCCCCTGGATCAATACATTGGTACTAGTGTCCCCTGGATCTAGACATTAGTACTAGTGTCCCCTGGATCTATACATGAGTACTAGTGTCCCCTGGATCTATACATGAGTACTAGTGTCCCCTGGATCTATACATAGATACTAGTGTCTCCTGGATCTATACATTAGTACTAGAGTCCCCTGGATCTATACATTAGTACTATTGTCTCCTGGATCTATACATAGGTACTAGTGTCTCCTGGATCTATACATGAGTACTAGTGTCCCCTGGATCTATACATTGGTAGATGTATCCCCTGGATCTATACATTGGTACTAGTGCCCCCTGGATCTATACATTGGTACTAGTTTCCCCTGGATCTATACATTAGTACTATTGTCTCCTGGATCTATACATAGGTACTAGTGTTCCCTGGATCTATACATTGGTACTAGTGCCCCCTGGATCTATACATTGGTACTAGTGTCCCCTGGATCTATACATTAGTACTATTGTCTCCTGGATCTATACATTGGTACTAGTGTCTCCTGAATCAATACATTGGTACTAGTGTCCCCTGGATCTATACATTGGTACTAGTGTCCCCTGGATCTATACATTGGTACTAGTGTCCCCTGGATGTATACATTGGTACTAGTGTCCCCTAGATGTATACATTGGTACTAGTGTCCCCTGGATTTATACATTGGTACTAGTGTCCCCTGGATGTATACATTGGTACTAGTGTCCCCTAGATGTATACATTGGTACTAGTGTCCCCTGGATTTATACATTGGTACTAGTGTCCCCTAGATGTATACATTGGTACTAGTGTCCCCTGGATGTATACATTGGTACTAGTGTCCCCTGGATCTATAGATTAGTACTAGTGTCTCATGGATCTATACACACAATGTAGGTACTAGTGTCTCCTGGATCTATACATTAGTACCAGTGTCTCCTGGATATATACATTAGTACTAGTGTCCCCTGGATCTATAGATTAGTACTAGTGTCGCCTGGATCTATACATTGGTACTAATGTCCCCTTGATCTATACATTGCTGCTAGTGTCCCCTGGATCTATACATCGGTACTAGTGTCCCCTGGATCTATATATGGGTACTAGTGTCACCTGGATCTATACATTGGTACTAGTTTTCCCTGGATCTATACATTGGTACTAATGTCCCCTTGATCTATACATTGCTGCTAGTGTTTCCTGGATCTATACATTGGTACTAGTGTCTCATGGATCTATACATACAATGTAGGTACTAGTGTCTCACTAGTGTCCCCTGGATCTATACATCGGTACTAGTGTCCCCTGGATCTATATATTAGTACTAGTGTCTCCTGGATCTATAATGTACTAGGAGATATGTTGTACGATTGTGTTATCAGTACTAGGACAATGAATGTATATTGTACACTTACAATAAATCCCATTCTGCTAATGGCATTTGGTAAGTTGTAATGGAGCTCCTAAGTGCAGGCTATACACTTACAGGAGAGGATCTATACATTGCTGCTAGTGTTTCCTGGATCTATACATTGGTACTAATGTCCCCTTGATCTATACATTGCTGCTAGTGTTTCCTGGATCTATACATTGGTACTAATGTCCCCTTGATCTATACATTGCTGCTAGTGTTTCCTGGATCTATACATTGGTACTAATGTCCCCTTGATCTATACATTGCTGCTAGTGTTTCCTGGATCTATACATTGGTACTAATGTCCCCTTGATCTATACATTGCTGCTAGTGTCCCCTGGATCTATACATTGCTGCTAGTGTTTCCTGGATCTATACATTGGTACTAATGTCCCCTTGATCTATACATTGCTGCTAGTGTTTCCTGGATCTATACATTGGTACTAATGTCCCCTTGATCTATACATTGCTGCTAGTGTCCCCTGGATCTATACATAGATACTAGTGTCCCCTGGATCTATAGATTAGTACTAGTGTCCCCTGGATCTATACATAGGTACTAGTGTCTCCTGGATCTATACATTGGTACTAGTGTTCCCTGGATCTATACATTGGTACTAGTGTCTCCTGGATCTATAATGTACTAGGAGATATGTTGTACCATTGTGTTATCAGTACTAGGACAATGAATGTATATTGTACACTTACAATAAAACCCATTCTGCTAATGGCATTTGGTAAGTTATAATGGACCTCCTAAGTGCAGGCTATACACTTACAGGAGAGATTGGCCTGATCATACATATACTGTATTTTATTCTTAGGACTTCTGATTGATCCTTTAGCTTTATGGACTCAGAATGTTTGTCTATAAAGTTAACATCCCTGTGAAAAGGTGCGAGCTGGTGGCTACAGAAGGTAAGTTATTGAGAAGCTGTGTTTTATTGACAGATACTGTAATACCTGCCCTACTTATCGGGTAGGACAGGTAATCAATTACCTACAGCCCTCACCAGGTACACCTTAACTCAGTGACAGGCATCTTTACTCCTGGTTACAACAGTGCTCTGTATTATAGTTGTATGATGAATAGTTTTACAATAGGTGACACCAGAAGTGTTTATTGTGAACAAAAGGCTGATTGTACAATAGATTCCATATCCCTCCCAACAGGTATACATAAAATTTGTATAAATCAGTAATTTTGTTTTTGTGATTCATGGCCAAAACTGACAGCGTTATTTTCAATGTATTGATATTTTATATGCTATACAGAAATGGTAAACTACTTCTATTTCTGGTACTTACTGGACTGAGGTAGAAGGTTTCTATAATTCTGGTTCTGGTACTTACTGGACTGAGCTGGAAGGGTTCTATAATTCTAGTTCTGGTACTTACTAGACTGAGCTGGAAGGTTTCTATAATTCTAGTTCTGGTACTTTCTGGACTGAGCTGGAATGTTTCTATAATTCTTGTTCTGGTACTTACTGGACTGAGCTGGAAGGGTTCTATAATTCTAGTTCTGGTACTTACTAGACTGAGCTGGAAGGTTTCTATAATTCTAGTTCTGGTACTTACTAGACTGAGCTGGAAGGTTTCTATAATTCTAGTGCTGGTACTTTCTGGACTGAGCTGGAATGTTTCTATAATTCTTGTTCTGGTACTTACTGGACTGAGCTGGAAGTGTTTTATAATTCTAGTTCTGGTACTTACTGGGCTGAGCTGAAAGGTTTCTATAATTCTAGTTCTGGTACTTACTGGATTGAGCTGGAAGGTTTCTATAATTCTAGTGCTGGTACTTTCTGGACTGAGCTGGAATGTTTCTATAATTCTTGTTCTGGTACTTACTGGACTGAGCTGGAAGTGTTTTATAATTCTAGTTCTGGTACTTACTGGACTGAGCTGAAAGGTTTCTATAATTCCAGTTCTGGTACTTACTGGACTGAGCTGAAAGGTTTCTATAATTCTAGTTCTGGTACTTACTGGACTGAGCTGAAAGGTTTCTATAATTCCAGTTCTGGTACTTACTGGACTGAGCTGGAAGGTTTTGAGCTCCTTGACTATGGAAGACACCTGGTATTTTCCAGGATTCGAAGTTGCTTTGTTCTCTTTAATTATCATCTTCTCCTCATTTTCTTCATCTGTTTCATCATTATCTGAGTCATCAAATGTGAATACCTCACTCCCCTCTACAAAACAAATACTAACCATTACATGTAAATACCTCACTCCCTTCTACAAAACAAATACTAACCATTACATGTAAATACCTCACTCCTTTCTACAAAACAAATACTAACCATTACATGTGAATACCTCACTCCCTTCTACAAAACAAGTACTAACCATTAAATGTGAATATCTCACTCCCCTCTACAAAACAAATACTAACCATTACATGTGAATACCTCACTCACTTCTACAAAACAAATACTAACCATTAAATGTGCATATCTGACTCGATTCCCCCTCTACAAAACAAATACTAACCATTACATGTGCATATCTCACTCCCTCTACAAAACAAATACTAACCATTAAATGTGAATACCTCACTCACTTCTACAAAACAAATACTAACCATTGCATTTGAATACTTCATTCCCCTACATTAAACAAATACTTAAACCATGACATATAAAAATACATACCTCACTTCCCCCTATTGAACAAATACTAACCATTACATGTGAATACCTTACTCACCTCAATATAACAAATAGTAGCCATTCTATGTGGATACCCCATCCCCTCTACAAAACAGATAGTAACCATTGCATGTGAATATCTCACTCCCCTCTACAAAACAAATACTAACCATTAAATGTGAATATCTCACTCCCTCTACAAAACAAAAAGTAACCATTAAATGTGAATATCTCACTCGATCCCCCTCTACAAAACAGATACAGTAACCATTACATGTGAATACCTCACTCCCCTCTACAAAACAGATACAGTAACCATTACATGTGAATACTTCACTCCCCTCTACAAAACAGATACAGTAACCATTACATGTGAATATCTCACTCCCCTCTACAAAACAAAAAGTAACCATTATGTGTGCAGATCACTTCATCCACAAACACAAGAGGCCCAGAGGCCTTTATAGCTCACCTGGAATTTTGTTTTCTGTTGAGTACTGTATAAGTTTATCAAAAGAGCACAAGACATATCGGTGTAACAAGTACTAAATCCCACAAGATGGTAATTAAGGCACCAATGACACGAATGCATTCGATTACATGTATCCAGCAATTGTATATATGATTGGTTATAGGCTGGGAATCTCAACCGTTTCCATGTTGTATGACCCAGGGAGTAAGTAAACCAGGGTGGGGCTGGACCAAAGAGCAAATTATGGAAGAATGAGTGTAATTGTTTCTTCATGTGCATTCAATTCCTCACTCCTTCCACAAAACAAATATAAACATGGCTTTAGCCATTAAATGTTATTTCCCTTTTACAAACAAATAACAGACATTAATGTGAAAACATCACTCATGCCACAAAAAAAGTATTAATTCAATATGGATTATCATCTACACTTCAATCAGTTTGACAATGAATTACTAGCAAATATATTCTTCACTTCAGTTCCCTCCTTGGGGATTTATTCATGAGATTTATAATTAATAAAATTCAGAGGGCAAGTCACAACATAGTGATGGGAGGTATACAGATGGACTGACCTGACGGAAAGAGAGTAATTCTACACGGGCCTCGTGTTTCGTTTTTGGAAGATAGCATTAGAAGGACAATAAATGTTCATAAGTTACTTGATAATGCAACATAACTATGGAGGACAGAGAAATATAAGGACCTACGCATTTTACTCTTAATTGACTTACTTGTTTCAAACAAAAGAAACCTTGCTTTGTGTTTGGCATCGTCCAGAGAAGCACACTGCTGAATGGCATCTAAGCCGGCCTCTAAGTTCATTTTAGCCTGTAATAACTTTACAAGGTTCATGTTCATCTGAGTAATCCTGGTCTCTAACTCCTCTATCCTCGCCTCCACACTGCCCTTGTTAGCTTTCTGTTTCTGTAAGATTTGTTTGTGAGCTAGACTGTTAATAAGGTCCAGTAAAACATCCACAGATAGCTCCTCCAACGCTTTCCTTTGGTCCTCCTCGCCTAGCTGGAAGCCCTTTGTCTTAGCATCCTGCACCAGCTTTGTGGTGAGTGTAATCCAATTGTCCTGAAATAGTTTGCTCTTGGTGGTCAGAGCTTCCACCTGTCCTTGTAGCTCCTCATTTTCCTTGGTGAGGATTTCCACAGCCTGTTTGGACTTCCCCATGGAGATGCTTCCAGACCGGGGGAAGGATGGGCCTCGTGATGAGGCTGGGCGTGTACCCTTTTCTCCTCCATCCTTCTTCATGGCCGACTTCTTTGGTTTACTTGCCATCTGATGAAGGTGCCCTCATTGGAAAGCTCTCTCTACCATACAAAACTTCACAACAAGTTCATGCCATCATGTCTTCATCAGTCAAACCTGAAAAGATCGGTAATGAAATAAAGATAAAATCAATTAATTTCAGTGAAAATAGTTTTACTGACTTAGCTTGGTTTCCATGTTAACTGCAGGTACTTAATTCAGATCTTGATAATGACAGCAAATTAGTTATCTACGGTATGTGACGAAGATGACCTTGATTTGGAGTTTCTCATCTTGTATGCACTTTTTCAATGTGCCCTTAAAGCCATGTTTTTAACCTTAAGTTTAACATTGTTCATGTTGTGTTACCTTAGCACAAGTACTGTTAATACAACTTACATCAGGGATGACTGACAGTCCATTATGTGCATCAGATTACACAGTGTATAGGATGTTACAAATGGTTAAGAAGCTCTTTGTCATGTTGGATTTTAAGGCAGGTCAGGTGAAGGGTGCTTGTGAAACTCATGTGGGACTGAATGTTGTTAATAGGGTCTACCATGATACATGTTTCCAGTAAGTGGGACTGAATGTTGTAAATAGGGTCTATCATAGGACATGTTTCCAGTATGTGGGACTAATGTTGTTAATAGGGTCTACCATGATACATGTTTCCAGTATGTGGGACTGAATGTTGTAAATAGGGTCTACCATAATACATGTTTCCAGTATGTGGGACTAATGTTGTTAATAGGGTCTACCATGATACATGTTTCCAGTACGTGGGACTGAATGTTGTGAATAGGGTCTACCATTATACATGTTTCCAGTATGTGGGACTGAATGTTTTTAATAGGGTCTACCATGATACATGTTTCCAGTATGTGGGACTGAATGTTGTAAATAGGGTCTACCATGATACATGTTTCCAGTACGTGGGACTGAATGTTGTGAATAGGGTCTACCATGATACATGTTTCCAGTATGTGGGACTGAATGTTGTTAATAGGGTCTACCATGATACATGTTTCCAGTATATGGGACAGAATGTTGTTACATATGTAATAGGGTCTACCATGATACATGTTTCCAGTATGTGGGACTGAATGTTATGAATAGGGTCTACCACGATACATGTTTCCAGTGTGTGGGACTGAATGTTATGAATAGGGTCTACCATGATACATGTTGCCAGTATGTGGGGCTGAATGTTGTGAATAGAGTCTACCATGATACATGTTGCCAGTATGTGGGGCTGAATGTTGTGAATATGGTCTACGATGATACATGTTTCCTGTATGTGGGACTGAATGTTATGAATAGGGTCTACCACGATACATGTTTCCAGGATGTGGGATATGGATACATATCTTTAACCTATGGGTGTAGAATTGGGTCAAAATCATCTGCAAGGCTTCTATGTGTTTCCAGTATGTGTGACTGAATGTTGTCAATAGGGTCTACCATGATACATGTTTCCAGTATGTGGGATATGGATACATATATTTAACCTATGGGTGTAGAATTGGGTCAAAATCATCTGCAAGGCTTCTATGCCAGGTTCAAATTTTTACACCAAAGTTCTCATGATCTAGCTGAAGGTAGAATTAATTTTCATATCCCACATACCTACATAATGATTGACTCTTTTTCTCCACCTGCTCTTAACCAATATTTTAAAATGTGACATAGACATGGCTAATGCAACACTGAATGTTTGAAACTTCCTAGACAACAAATACTATAAACAAACTAATATCATATTTGGAAAGAGCAGAAAAAGTACTATCTGCTGGCCCGATGTGTACAGTACTGTATATTTGTACTATCTCGTGTGTCATGTCACTGTCGAGGATTCATCAGTAGTCTTTACCATCTTTTGCACCAGAAGTTAGGAGTCGTACGCACATTGCTCAAGAGATGTGATACAATAGTCACAGAACAACAGGACAAAACACAAGAGCAAAATCACATTGCTAGGCCATGTCCAGAATGGGCCCTAAAATGGGTACAAAAACAGTGTCAAAGTAAGGGGAAGAACAAGAAAAGGCCAATCAAGGATAAGAACAAAACCAAAGATCAAGTGGTCATCCTGTATATAAAAGGTATATTCAAAACCATCCAGAGGACATATTATGGTCATGGCATTGCAACAGCCATGAATCCCCACAATACGCTTCGTAATATCCTAGTTCACCTAAGGATAAAACACCTGAAGAAAACGTCGCAGAATATGTGTATACAAAATCAGATGCAAAAACTGTGAAGCATCATATATTGGAGAAACTGAAAGGTGATTTGGGGTCTGCTTTTTTATCATCACCCAAAAGATAGGGAAACCCAAGAAGGTAGGAAATTCATCAGATCAGAAAGGAAGCAGTTGGGGGTCCCAGATAAATAAATCGGCAATCACAGACCATGCCACACAGAAAAATCATGTGATTGACTGGGATAACTCTAAAGTATTGGACAAAGAGAGCAATCTGTTCAAGCAGCAGATAAAGGAAGCCATCTGGATATGCTGCAGTTGGCCAGTTCTAAATTGAGATGAGGGGGCTCATAGACTCTCACACATCTTTGACCAAGTATTAAACAAAGCGCAGCTGAATCGAGTCATTTCGGTACATGTATAACAACTTTTGGACATACGCTTACAGCATAGCCAAATCGACATCGATTTTGTGGAAAACTCGTTCAAATTTCACACCTTTGTGTGCATACGCTTCAGTGTCTGGTCATTTGTCTGATGAAGTTGACAGTGTACATACCGTACTAGTCATCGAAACATCACATCAAAACTCTTATTGGTTGTGTAAAGAGACTTTTCATAATCCATGCTTACTAACCTGAAGAAAAGGTTTAGAAATAGCCTTTACTTGTGTAGCAGCCAAGTAATGCAAGGCCAGATCTAGCAATCAATAATTTAGTACAGAAATCAATCTAACCTTTCTTTATTATAAATACAGGACTGTAGCTAGGAGTTTTCGAAGGCATTCAATTAGAATACTGATTACAAAAGAGATCATAATGCTTGTGTACATGTTTAAACCTTCATTATATTAGGTATGGTCAATAATGTATGGAGTTTGTATAAATTGAAATAACTTTGTTAATCAAATTAGTATTGTATGGAGTTTGTATAAATTACTGTAACTAGACTGTACATATGGAACTTCAATCAAATTTGTGTTGTATGGAGTTTGTATAAATTACTGTAACTAGACTGTACATATGGAACTTCAATCAAATAAGTGTTGTATGGAGTTTGTATAAATTACTATAACTAGACTGTACATATGGAACTTCAATCAAATTAGTGTTGTATGGAGTTTGTATAAATTACTATAACTAGACTGTACATATGGAACTTCAATCAAATTAGTGTTGTATGGAGTTTGTATAAATTACTATAACTAGACTGTACATATGGAACTTCAATCAAATTAGTGTTGTATGGAGTTTGTATAAATTACTATAACTAGACTGTACATATGGAACTTCAATCAAATTAGTGTTGTATGGAGTTTGTATAAATTACTATAACTAGACTGAACATATGGAACTTCAATCAAATTAGTATTGTATGGAGTTTGTATAAATTACTATAACTAGACTGTACATATGGAACTTCAATCAAATTAGTGTTGCATGGAGTTTGTATAAATTACTATAACTAGACTGTACACATGAAACTTCAATCAAATTAGTGTTGTATGCAGTTTGTATAAATTACTTAATTACACAATGTGTATGGAACTGAAATCATATCAATATTGAATGGAGTTGTCTTAATTGACATAATGTTAATATCCCTGTCAGAAAATCAATGTTATATGGACATTTTTATAGTTTTACACAAATCAATAGTGTATGGAGTTTGTATAATTTGGCAAATAAGACGATAATAAAATCAATAGTTAGGAGGTTTTTGAAAGGTTGTTGACAAGTGACTTGCAACGGAATAATGAAGGCATGGAAATCCATCAGAAATCACCAATCATCTTTCGCTTTTCGTACGAAAATAGCTTTCTTGATTGGTTGTATGTTGTTTATAGAGCTGTATGTAGTATATCTATACTCTAGTTTAGATTTCTACAGCCTTAAAATTAAATTGAGGCCTGAGACACCTACACAATTACCGGCTGCCAGGTATGGTAATAAGTACCCATTGATATCAATCTAACTCTCTTTATAAAAATTACAAGTTGCATGTTTCCAACGTGAAGTAGGGATTAATTTCAGTATATTTCATAATACTGTACTTAATAACCATTCTTCTAATGAAGAAATGAAACCCCTAATTATATATAATCAAATGAAATGTATAATGTAATTTTTAATTTCTCATTGTAAAAAGTTCCTGCCTTTCCAAGTTGATTCAAATGACACTTAAAAATATATTGATCATGTCAAACTAATACATTATTAACATATTATATGATTTCAGAATACTGGGTCTGATATGAAAACAAGTACAATGTACAATGTTGTATTGTACAGTATCATCTACTTGATAATTTTCTCAGAATCCAGTTGGCTGGATCCTATATATACATGACATACTAAGTGATATCTAAATATTGTATTTAAGGGAATCCCCTGCACTTTCACATTTGGTTTGTTAGTTTTGTGTCCTATTAACAGCTATGGTCATCTTTCACATTTAATAAAGAGTTCTTTGAAAAACAAATATTTTAAAGGTTTATTTTATGTTTGGTTACCATTTATTAGTAACATGGAAAAAACATTGTGTTTTTCTGTAGACCTTGAGCTGTATTTTTTTAATAATAATAATATGAAATACGGCAGAAAATCTTGCATCCAAACCATTTAATTAGGAAACTTTCATTAGTTATTGCATTTTTTATCAATATTTTTTTAAGCATATAATAATAACAGACAGGAACTTTTGTGAGTTAGATTACAATGTACATGATGTGATTGATATAAACCTGAAAAATGATAATATGAACTTCAGGTTCCCCAAGGTCAATATCATTTATTTTTAAGGCTCAAATGACATAACTGGTATTATATTCACTATCACAAAAGTTTAAAGTCGTACAATAATACACACCCCATCTTACAGATAATACAATTACTATGTACATGAAATATGTGTTTCTAAAGTTTTATATGCATGTGTATATACTAAGTTGTACAATGTGTGCCGTTATGTCAATAGTGGAGCCAGACAAGAATTAATTAACAGTTGGTTTGAATTTTAACTTGTTTATCATGGGTAATTGAAACCATTAAAACCCACTTTGATACATAAACTGAAGCGATACATTGTAACTGACTGGTCTGGTCCACATATTCTGGCCCACTATGTGATATCAAATTACACTGTTCCAATAGTACGCTCCGCTACAATTGTAACCATAACAAAATGACTTATTTACAGCTAGTGCCATGAACATGACAATAAATGTATAATAAAAATCAACATTTACTGATGAATAATTAATACAGGTCTCTATTGTCACAAGCTGAACTTCTCAGATGAATTGAACAGACTGGCACCCATACAAACACGTATAGACATGCAACACTGTAGATATCTCATTAGGGGATTCATTATAATTAAGATTGGAGATATGGGCACAGCGTTGTTCAGGCTGATCATTAGCTTGATGAGTTAAGATGTCAATTTTCGAAATGTAATTTTTGAGAGAAATGTTTTAAAATGTTTGAACATTCCTGTATATACTTTTTTCATCAGATGGTCATGTTGAATCAATAAACATGTAATTTCAAAATTCAATTTTTAATTTAAAAATATATACTACACAGGAGAAAGGCTCTACAGTAGCTTTTCCTTAAACTGATCAGCTTTGAAAAGCCAGCAGGCCCTGATACCCCTATTATTTACTGTATTTCAGTAACATTATCTATCAAAATATGATACAAGTGAAAAATACACATTTTAATTTCATATCAATATGAATATTAAATATTCTATATTCACAGCCATATACAGTATATGCAGGGCTGTTACAGACTGGCTGTTTTGTATGTTAGACCATTCTAATCTCCTAAGTAAACAATTTTAATCTAACTTGTGTATCGACTCACAGTTAAATACAGTCTCTTGGGTGTTCCAAGATATTGGGGGTGTTGATTAAGTTAACGGAGTAGCTACATACATCATCTTGATATATACATCATGTATACAATGAAATTGTCTAAACAATTACATCAAAGTGAAACCTATCTATAGCCAAACACCAGAGTAGAACCTGTCTAAACAGAACACAACAGCAAGTTACCTGCCTATAAACCAAACAGCATAGCAACTCTTGTCATCACGGATCATAACAGTGAAACCTGGCTTAACCAAACTGCACAGCAAAACTTATCAACAAGGAGCACAACAGCAAAACCTACCTAAACCAAACACGAAAGCGAAACCTATCAGCAGTATAGCCATACACCAGAGTTGAACCTGTCTAAACAGAATGTTCACAACAGCAAAAGCTAGCTACCAAACAGTCAACAGTGGACCTTGTCTAAACCAAACACCAAACTGAATCCTAGCTGTCTATAACTTTAAATTAATATCGCTTGCAGTGAAATCTGTGTTATACCTTCACATTAATGTGAAATCTGCCTATTTAAGTAAACATCACAGTGAAACGCTTTTATTACATCAATTGCCTTTACTACATAGTCGATTGTAACATTATAATGGACTTCACACACTAATGGTCAACATCAATGGGTTTTATACATATGTGGCAGATTTTAATTGTACATAAGGATTAAGGTAAACTTTCTACATCTGTAGCTTCGAGCTTGAGGGAATTTCCCTTTAGCTCAGTGGTAGAGCATCCCACAAGGAACCTAGCGATTGCGAGTTAAATCCCTGGTGGAAGCACACTGTTCTCTTTCCTGTTACACATACATGTTCATTTGTATGTAGACATAAGATTGTCATGATTCTATTATTATATTGAACACATCCAGTATGACTTCAACAAACATCTGATAAAATATAGCATCAACGTTAAACGTTCAATGTCATACAGAAGTGTATAATACAGCCACGTGTAGTATACACTGCAGTGACCTGAAAGTGACACAAATTGATGATTAATGACTGATGACTGAAGATAGGATACGTATATATGAACATATATAAAATGTATGACCATGCAGTCACCTGGATGTGTGGATTGGTGTCTAAATCTTGTTACAAAGAACAATAACACGTATTTTAAGAACGTTCTGAAATTGATCATACAGTGTAGTAAGATGAGGACGTAAATATACCTACCGTTTCTCCAACTGCCGGCGACTAAATGATCAATACTTATCATCTAGCTTATCCACATGCCACAAGACGTTGGTAAGGAAGCTAGACATGCGCATTCCGATTTAGCAGGTACCCGTACGTCATTTCCGTAAACATTGCATATGGCTGCCCAAGATGAACTGTCAAACGAGACTAATCGATAATGCAGTCTGATGCCAGTGTTGGTGTTCCTCGCTAATATACACAGAAAGTAAAGCTACCAAGTTATGCCCTTCATGTATTTTACATCGATGATATTGGTTTTTGTTCGTCAGACTCCAATGTAGCCTCGGCTCTGTTGCTTCAGCCGAGCTGGGAAGATGGGACTAGCATGTGTATAGTTATGAACGTAGGATCGGGATTCTGAGGACTTCAATAGGCGTGGGCTGTCACCGGTCCGCCGTACCTCCGCCACATGTAAACCAGCAACTCTGACACGTGATTACAGTGAATATTAATAGAGTTGTGACTATCAAGGAGATGTATGCCAGCCAGAGAATCAATCAATGATTGATCCATATATAAACCCAACAGAATCTTAAGTAAAAACACAATTCATTGGTGGATGGCGGCTGAGATACGGCGTAGGTAAGGTGGCAGCTGATTTGTGTGTTTATAGACCTTTGTAACTTTTGCAGTAATTAACGTGTGTGAAGGATGTGCTCCGTCATGTTAGGCACAATCATGTTGGTCTTCAGCACAAAATGCATAAGTCTTTAGTTTCCAAGACTGAAGGTCGTTTTGATGCGAGGGCACCTCTCGCTACATTTGATACCATTGATCTTGGGGAGGATATTGCATTCATTCAGCCCAGCACAAATGATGAGAGTGTCAGTGAATCAAGTGACGAGGCCAACAAAATAGATGTTATTAAAAAGCGACAGATTTTTGGAAAGCATGACAGTCCTGAATTTGAACTAAGTAACAATCATGTGTATGAGAAACTAAGTGAAGGACATGGTGCAAATAATGTAAAAGCTCCAAGGCCAGAAAACAGCGAGTTTATGAATCAACGACCAAGTCCAGATGATTCACTCTCTGACAGTTCAGATTCAGACAGTGGTTATATACAGAGTGGATACCTGTCTATGACAGATGGACGAATAACAAAGCACGACTTCCCAGCTAAAATACCCACGTCACCATTCCCTAGTCGATACTCCCGAGTGGTTGACCATGATGGTTCTCTGGACAATACCCCTACCTCGTCCCCTAGTCTACAGCGCATTCCTCTACCTGTGCTGCTACAGGAACTGGAACATGTCAAGTTAGAGTCAAAGCGCAAAGCATTGGAGAAACGCATTCAGAGACTACAGGTAACAACTCGACGTGTAGAACGCCCACGGAGTACTACACCCATCAATGTGGTCACACTAGATGAGTACAGAGAGATTAGCTCTCCGGAGAAACAAAACACACCTGATCACCTTGAGAAGCTGAAGATCAAGCTTCCTGCAGAGGACTTTAGTTGTGTCAGACAGAGAAGTCCCTGGAAGTCCAGAGGGAGTATAAGTGAAGCCTCAAGTGTGTTTAATTTTAGTGAGGAATTTCTGTTTACCCACACAAAGTCAGCATTCCTGCTTCAGAATGATGGGTCAGTAGGTCAGTCTCCGAAACGGATCCTCATACCTCCTAATCTTTCTCCGGCTCTGTCACCTGCTGCCTCCCCAGTAAAGTGTGTAGTGCCCTCCAACATCCAGCCCCAAACTGGTTCTCCAAAATTCTACTACAATCCTGCTCTAAAGTCCCAATCGGGGACACCAGGTCGACATCCCACCCCAGCTGTGTCCAATCTTGTGCGTGACAACTGGATCGCTTTTGATGACAATTGGGGGTCACAGAACAGTTCTCCTGCCAAAATCCAGTCCAATACAGAAAGTGCCAAAGACTCCAATAACAAACAACCATGTGTTCCAGAGGATGGTTACTCAAATGCTGAATCAGGGAAATTGAAAGAGGCTGCTACAGAAAATCCACCTGTTAAATTTAATATCCCACATATTATTGAACATGTAGTGTCTGAAAGCGAGCAAGATGAAATCTTAACAATCAATATAGAGGAATTCAAAGACGGGCAAAAAATCTGTAATATTAATGTGTCCGAGTCTCCAAGCAAAGATATTGGCAATGAATCAAGTGAGGATGTGTCTGTATTAGAAAGTCACACCATAGAGATAGCGGCGAGGGACGGGGGTAGTTCTGGTGTGGACACTGACCAGGGAGTGGTGAAACAGGAAGGAGTGGAAGAGAACCTGTGTAGCCAAGGAGACTGCATAGCGCCAACAAACAACCATAACGGGAACACTGATACAGTGGGCAATGTATTATTACACACCAGCAAAGACACACAGTGCTCAAACTTTCTACCAGAAAATCAATCTCAAGATTGGCCAAGTCAGACACATACTAAAGATATACAGGAAGCTGGCTTACCTGGACAGCTGATTTCTGCTGATGCAACCTGTCTAACCTCAGCTGATGAGACCTTTGACCCTCCTGTTGTTCTAACCTCTCAACCCATACCTGTGGACAAGAAGCTTAACTAAAACCAGCATTATATATTGTTAACAGGTAAGAATTGTTTGCAAATGGATAATTCACAGATACTGTCAATACTTGGGGAATGCTATATTTAATAGAGCAATGAAATGTATTTTGTCTCAAGAGCTCTTTTACTCTATCCATATATGTTCCCGACATTGCAAGGTTTCTCAGTGATGGTGGCAAATAAGCAGGATTGACCGTGTAATCAGTGATGTATTGTGTGGACAGTCTGGAGAGCACAGCAGCTGATAATAAGGACATTGTAGGACTTGTGATCTGATTCTAGACATCATCAGGGTCAGATTCTCACAAGGAAAAAATCCATCATTGAACAGGTTAATGGGAGATACAGAAAGAACACTTATTGTAACTGTGCCATCTCATGCTAATTTGATTTGACTTGACTGCAATATAAGTATACAGACAAAGTGTTCCATTCTCTGGGATTCAACTCATCCATAATCTTTCACTCTTCCTTATACAATTTCTCTACACAAGCAGATCAATTGAATTTTGTATGAATCATTGATGTGACCTCAGTTTGTACAAGATGAAATTCAATTGTGTAGAAACAGGCATCGTGTTTCTGCTATTACTTAATCATATTTAAGTAAATATTAGACTGGTACTGGAAATAAATCTTAGTGTGGGTTAACATATTCTATATTTTGCCTAAAGCAGTCTGTATACATTGTATGTTTAGCAGTAATTTAGACCCCATGTTTCAGAAGGACTATATATACAGGGAGTTAAAGCTGTTAGACCAGTCAAGTTATTGTACATAACAGATGAAAGCTGTTAGACTGGTCGAATTATGAGACACAAGGGGTAAACACTTAGTTTGGCCATGTTGAGGAAGGAGATTCACTTGTTACCCCTGGTATATGTGTAGCAGTAACTTGTAACATTGATCGCAGATGACATCTACAGGATCATTGTATAATACCAGCAGAAAGGTTAGCTGAACAGGACCTGTGACATGTAAGGTCAGGTATAGATGATATACTGCCATGTGAGGTCAAGTAAAGGGACCTCTTCTTTGCATTTGGGAAGTCAGATAAAGAGACCAGTCTTTGAGGTCAGGTATGAGAACCTCTATATAGAGACCTCTGTGCTAGTGTCCTGTAAGGTCAGGTATGAGAACCTCTATATAGAGACCTTTGTGCTAGTGTCCTGTAAGGTCCGGTATGAAGAAAACTGCTTTGAGAGGTCAGGAATAGGGACCTCTGTCCTTTGTTGTCACATATATATTTAAGCTCTGTCCTCTGAAACCAATAATGAAAACCCCTGTCCTTTGAGGTCAATAATGAAAACCTCTGTCCTTTGAGGTTAATAATGAAAACCTCTGTCCTTTGAGGTCAATAATGAAAACCCCTGTCCTTTGAGGTCAATAATGAAAACCCCTGTCCTTCCTGGTCAAGAATGAAAACCCCTGTCCTTTGAGGTCAATAACGAAAACCCCTGTCCTTTGAGGTCAATAATTCAAACCTTTGTGGTCAGGTATATATGTAGACTTGTGTCCTTTGAGGTCAAGAATGAAAACCTCTGTCCTGTGAGGTCAATAATGAAAACTTCTGTCCTTTGAGGTCAATAATGAAAACCTCTGTCCTTTGAGGTCAAGAATGAAAACCTCTGTCCTGTGAGGTCACTAATGAAAACCTCTGTCCTTTGAGGTCAAGAATGAAAATCCTGTCCTGTGAGGTTAATAATGAAAACATCTGTCCTGTGAGGTCAATAATGAAAACCTCTGTCCTGTGAGGTCAATAATGAAAACCTCTGTCCTTTGAGGTCAAGAATGAAAACCTCTGTCCTGTGAGGTCAATAATGAAAACCTCTGTCCTTTGAGGTCAAGAATGAAAACCTCTGTCCTGTGAGGTCAATAATGAAAACCTCTGTCCTTTGAGGTCAAGAATGAAAACCTCTGTCCTGTGAGGTCAATAATGAAAACCTCTGCCCTGTGAGGTCAATAATGAAAACCTCTGTCCTTTGAGGTCAATAATAAAAACCTCTGTCCTGTGAGGTCAATAATGAAAACCCCTGTCCTTTGAGGTTAATAATGAAAACCTCTTGTCCTTTGAAGTCAATAATGAAAACCTCTGTCCTGTGAGGTCAATAATGAAAACCAGGTCATCTGAAGTCAATAATGAAACATTCTGTCCAGTGAAGTCAATAATGAAAACCTCTGTCCTTTGAGGTCAATAATGAAAACCTCTGTCCTGTGAGGTCAATAATGAAAACCTATGTCCTTTGAGGTTAATAATGAAAATCTCTGTCCTGTGAGGTCAATAATGAAAACCTCTGTCCTGTGAGGTTAATAATGAAAACCAGGTCATCTGAAGTCAATAATGAAAACCTCTGTCCTCGAAATTCAATAATGAAAACCTCTGTCCTTTGAGGTCAATAATGAAAACCAGGTCATTTTTTATAGCATGTCAGCTAACCACTCTAAGAATGATGCAGATCTTATTTCAATGTAAGAAGGTATATAACTCTATATGGCATGCGACCGGCGTATATTGGTCCGCCCCGCAATACTCTTGTTTCTTTTTATCGCAATTTTAATATAATTTGACAAAAGAAGGCCGGTTAAAGATGTCATTCATTCGGTTCAAATAGAAAATACTGAAAAGCTTGTATGGGGAACACTCTGCTCTAAAAGGTCAGTATAAGGACATTTGCTGTAAATGGTCAAGTATAGGGACATCTGCTCTATGAGGTCAGGTGTAGGGATCTCTGCTCTATGAGGTCAGGTATAAGGATCTCTGCTCTATGAGGTCAGGTATAAGTATCTATGCTCTATGTGGTCAGGTTTAGGAATATCTGCTCTATGAGGTCAGGTATAAGGATATCAGCTCTATGAGGTCAGGTGTAGGGATATCTGCTCTATGAGGTCAGGTATAAGGATCTCTGCTCTATGAGGTCAGGTATAGGGATCTCTGTTCTAAGTGATCAGGTATAGGGATCTCTGCTCTAAGTGATCAGGTATAGGGATCTCTGCTCTAAGTGATCAGGTATAGGGACCTCTACTCTATGAGGTCAGGTGTAGGGACCTCTGCTCTATGAGGTCAGGTATAAGGATCTCTGCTCTATGAGGTCAGGTATATATAGGGATCTCTGCTCTATGAGGTCAGGTATATAGGGATCTCTGCTCTATGGCGTCAAGTATAGGGACCTCTGCTCTATGAGGTCATGTATAGGGAATTGAGCCCAATGAGACAGGTACAGGGACCTGTGTCTTGTGAGGTCAGGTGTAGTGATTTGAGCCCTGTGAGACAGGTACAGGGACCTGTGTCTTGTGAGGTCAGGTGTAGTGGTTTGAGCCCTGTGAGACGGGTACAGTACAGGGACCTGTGCCTTTTGAGGCCAGGTATAGACAATTGAGGCCAATGATCCAGGTACAGAGATTTGTACCTAGTGAGGTCAGGTGTAGGGACCATGAGCCCTATGAGACAGGTATAGGGATTTGTACCTAGTGAAGTCAAATGTAGGGACCATAAGCCCTATGACACAGGTATAGGGATTTGTACCTAGTGAGGTCAGGTGTAGGGACCATGAGCCCTGTGAGACAGTTAAAGGGATGTGTACCTATTGAGGTCAGATGTAAGGACCACGTACGCTGTGAGACCGGTATAGGGACCTGTGCCTAGTGAGGTCAAGTGTAGGGATCTGAGCCCTGTGAGACAGGTAAAAGGATCTGTGCCTTGTGAGGTCAGGTGTACATGTAGGGACCATGCATGGGCCCTATGAGACAGGTAAAGGGACATGTACCTAATGAGGTAAGGTATAGGGACTATGAGCCCTGTGAGACAGATAAAGGGATCTGTGCCTTGTGAGGTCAGTTGAAGGGACCATTAGCCCTGTGAGACAGGTACAGGGACCTGTACCTAATGAGGTCAGGTATAGGGTCTATGAGCCCTTGAGACAGGTGAAGGAATCTGTGCCTTGTGAGGTCTGATGAAGGGACCATTAGCCCTGTGAGACAGGTACAGGGACCCATGTGCCTTGTAGGATCAGATGAAGGGACCATTAGCCCTGTGAGACAGATAAAGGGATCTGTGCCTTGAAGGGTCAGATGAAGGGACCATTAGCCCTTGAGACAGATAAAGGGATCTGTGCCTTGTGAGGTCAGTTGAAGGGACCATGGGCCCTATGAGACAGGGAAAGGGACATGTACCTAATGAGGTCAGGTATAGGGACTATGTGCCCTTGAGACAGGTGAAGGGATATGTGTCTTGTGAGGTCAGATGAAGGGACCATTAGCCCTGTGAGACAGGTGAAGGGATCTGTGCCTTGTGAGGTCAGATGAAGAGACCATTAGCCCTGTGAGACAGGCACAGGGATCTGTGCCTTGTAGGGTCAGATGAAGGGACCATTAGCCCTGTGAGACAGGTACAGGGATATCTGCCTTGTAGGGTCAGATGAAGGGATCATTAGCCCTGTGAGACATATAAAGGGATCTGTGCCTTGTAGGGTCAGATGAAGGGACCATTAGCCCTGTTAGACAGATAAAGGGATCTGTGCCTTGTAGGGTCAGATGAAGGGACCGTTAGCCCTGTGAGACAGATAAAGGGATCTGTGCCTTGCAGGGTCAGATGAAGGGACCATTAGCCCTGTGAGACAGAGAAAGGGATCTGTGTCTTGTGAGGTCAGTTGAAGGGACCATGGGCCCTATGAGACAGGTAAAGGGACATGTACCTAATGAGGTCAGGTATAGGGACTATGTGCCCTTGAGACAGGTGAAGGGATCTGTGCCTTGTGAGGTCAGATGAAAGGACCATTAGCCCTGTGAGACAGGTACAGGGACCCCTGTGCCTTGTAGGGTCAGATGAAGGGACCATTAGCCCTATGAGACAGGTGAAGGGATCTGTGCCTTGTAGGATCAGATGAAGGGACCATTAGCCCTGTGAGATAGGTGATGGGATCTGTGCCTTGTAGGGTCAGATGAAGGGACCATTAGCCCTTGAGACAGATAAAGGGATCTGTGCCTTGTGAGGTCAGTTGAAGGGACCATGGGCCCTATGAGACAG